AGAGAGAGAGAGAGAGAGAACAAGCTTCAACCTAAAAAAAAAGTCTCAGCCAAAGGAAGATATAGAGAAGTCAGTTAGGGATTATCTAAAAGCCTCCTTCCTAATAGTGTCGTCTACTTTTGTGTTACACACATGCTTTACATAATTGACCTTAATCTTCAGCTTTTATTTTACAGATGAAGAAACGAGGCAGAAAGCCCTAACTTGATCAAGAACACAGTTGGTAAGTTGACAGAGACAGGCCTAGAATGCCAGCTTTGTCTGGCACCGGTCCTCTTTCCTATCCTCCTTCAGATTCTTTGGAATTTAAAGCTTCCGGCAACCACACATAATTCTATTTCATCCCCCTTCCCTCAACCTTTAGACTGTGATGGACTGAAGGGTCTGAAGTACACTAGGAGTCAAGAGCAGATCCAAGGGAAATTTTCCCGTTGAGGCAGAAGCTACGAGATGAACCAAAAAAACTAATTCAGTGATGTTTTTCAACCTTTAGGCCATGGACCCCTTTGAGAAACATATAGAAATGGATCCTAGAAATATGCACATACGGCCAGGGTCAGTGGCTCACGCCCATAACCCCAGCACTTTGGGAGGCTAAGGTGGGTGGATCACGAGGTCAGGAGTTCGAGACCAGCCTGACCAACGTGGTGAAACCCCGTCTCTACTAAAAATACAAAAATTAGCTGGGTGTGTTGGTGCGTGCCTGTAATCCCAGCTACTCAGGGATCAGGAAGCTGAGGCAGGAGAATCACTTGAACTCGGGAGGTGGAGATTGCTGGGAACCAAGATCACACCACCGCACTCCAGCCTAGCGACAGAGACTCCATCTCAAACAAACAAACAAACAAAAAGCACATACATTTTTGTATACTACTTCAAATAGCACCCCCCCTCCAATCTCATCAGTGGGCCCAAAGATCCATAGACCACACCCTACACATATACATTACATTATGAGGACCTAAAAAGATATAATAGGGTTTGATTTGATGAACAATCTAGTGGCCTTAGAATAGGGGTGATTAAATAGCAATAGAAGGGCTATTTTCTAAACTCGATGTTTAAGAAAAGATTAAAGGGAATAAGGATGTATCAAGATGCAGGGCAAGGTGTGTTTCTGATTCAGTAAAACATTACCGAGTATCCTTTCTTCCAAATTCCTAGTACCTGACAAACAGCAAAAAAAAAAAAAAAAAAAAAAAAAAAGCAAGCAACACTCCAATGCCCTTTTCTTTTTTTCCTTTTTTTACTTACATTAAATACATCGGTAAATCAGCAGTCGCATTCTGTTACCACGATTGTTATGTTGGGAGAGGAAGAAAGGCAAATGCTTTCTTAGAAGCGAAACAAAAACAAAAAACCAAAACACCCCCCCTTAAAAAAACTGACCAGAAGAAAAAAATGAGCTGGGAAATAATACAAAAAAATAAACTAAGATCCCCAAGCCCAACAGAGCTCAAAGGAAGGCAGAAGAGGTGGTAGGAAGTAGAGGGAAGGCAGCCGATAGGCCCAGAAGCTAAGGCCAAATCCTTTTCCTATGGGGGTGGGGGAGGGAGAAGCCTGGGGAAGTGGTTTCCCAGCCCCAAGACAATGAAACATCTTCACTCTGCTCCATGGGGGAAAGCTGCACAGAGAAAGAACTTCATTTCTAGGAGACTTTAGAAAGCCATCCTAGTTCTTCCACTTGTAAAATAGATGCACTGGGTGCTTTGGGGGGGTCAGTGGCTTCTGGGAAAGGAAGGGGGAAATGTGTGTGTTTCAGGGCCATGGGAACTAAGGCTGCCCCTGGAAAAGGAAGGGAATTGAGGCCTAAGTGGAAGAAACTAAGCTGGGTCCTTCAGAATCTCAGCTTCATAGATTTCTCAGCTGTTGTGGGATAGAAGGTAGTCTGCAAGCCAGAACAGCAAAAAGGTTCCAATCCTAGGTCACTGTGACCTTTCCTTTCTCTTTCTTTCTTTCCCAAAACTCTAGGCTGGAACAAGGAACTTAAAGTTCTCTTTTGCCTTGATGGCTTCTCAGAGACATCTTAAAACACCTGATAAGGGATATGAAGAGAGACTAGAGATTCAGAAAGGACCAAGGTCCTCTGATAATATGAGCCAGTTGTAAGGTACCTTCAGTGCTGGTCATTCCCTGTCCACAGGAACAGGTGGTATGATATGAGGGCACCACAGGAGGCCTCTGTGGTACTAGCCCCTAGTGGTACATGGATTAAACCACTGGTTGCATGGTGGGGAGGGATGGGGAGATTAAAGATGGAGGGACTAAATTCAAGATATTAACAAAAGGGAAAAGAAACAGGGCCTGATGGGAGGCAGAGGATAGAACAGACTGTACAGTGGGAATAAAGATCATACCTATTTACAAGGAAGTAGAAAAGACATGGTAATGGATATCAAATTGAGTGTGAAACCTGGGAAAGGAGAGAAAACTCCTCCCTTTTGCCTGACCTCATTTTTATTTCCCTACCTTGGCCTGTGCTATCCTGACACTCTCCCCAGTTGCTCAGTTAATTCTCCAGGAAAGGCAAACCTATACTCAATAGCTAGGTTGGCAAGAATATAGGTTAAGAATTAGAGTTGGAGGAAGCTAACAGTGGAGATAGGACTTGAGTAGCTGCCACTGGTACTTTTATCTATAACCTCTCCTCAAACCTCGTATTAACCTCAGATTTCATTGAATTAAGAAGGTGGGAGGGGAAGTAAATCAATCAAAACTTCCATAAAATAAGTACCCCAACTGAACTACCATCAATTAAAGTGCAAACTGCAGGGGCATATGGCGGCTGGGGCTGAGGCCATCTAAAGGCCAGAGGGAAAAAAATGCATATGTATAAATCAGAGGATGGGTACCAGAAACTGTCCCTCCTCCAATCAGATCACAGCAGAGCCAAAGATGCAGGCAACCAGTGAAGATTCTTTGGAGGACTCTGGGGTCCAATCCCCATGATAGGGGAAACACTACCTAAGAGGCTGCGTGAGGGGAAACTTGGCCTTTGAAGAGTTACAGAGCCACAGATGACACTGAACCTCCACCTCCGCCCAGTTTGCTTACAAGGCACCTCCTGCCTGGTGCCTGAGAGCTTGCCTCCTCATTCTCACCTCTGCCTAGGAACACCCTCCACAAGGCCAACTCATGGATACCACAATGTTTTCAAATATGAAAAACTCCAACCAAATAAAAACAAAAAGGAAATGTTTCCTTACTCCCTCCTGCTCTGAGCTTTATTCTCCCCCAGGGCCCTTAATGTAAATGAACTGGAAACCTCCTTCCTCAGCTCCTGGGTTCACCACTTTCTGCATCCTGGGGAGAGGAGAAAAGAGGATCAAGAACAGGGATTGACCAAAAGCAGAAGGGGAAGGGACAGGAGTCAGAAGTGTTTTCTGAAAAAATGGGGAGGAACACTAAGGAGGAGGAGAAAAGATAAGTAAGTCGCTGTCTTGTACCTATAATACAAAGTGAAGAAAGTTTGTTTTGGAAGGTAAGTCCTGGGGGGAGTTGACCCCCAAGCCCCAGAGTAGGGGGTAGGAGGCCAGTGGCAACAGCTGCCTGGTGTTGGTTGCTGAAGCGTTAAAAAGTGCCATGACGGAGCTGTCAGGAGGCAGCCCTTGGGAGCCAGGGCTCAGTGTGCTGTTACCGTAGGGGCTGTGTGCTGAGGGGTAGGGATGGAGGTTATTTCTTAGCTCTCGTGCTAGCTCCATACTTGTTTGCTGCTAGCCACCCCCTCAGTTGCTACAACACTGGCTCTTGTTCTGCTGGGACTGTTCATGGAGATCCACACCCCGGCTTCGGCATGCTGTACCTCCCAGATTCTGGGGTTCACTCTTTGGCAACTTCTTAGCTACAGATAAAAAGAGAAGAGAACAAAGTATGGTAGACTTTACTTCCCTACCCCTCTGCCCCCACCCCCCAAAAATGGCTACTGAGTTGGGGAAAGGGAGAATTTGGGAGATTAAAAGAATGTTCTGAAGATGGGAGGGTTCACTGTTGGCAAACTTTTTTTTTTTTTTTTTTTTTGAGACGAAGTCTTGCTCTATTGCCAGGCTGGAGTGCAGTGGCACAATCTCAGCTCACCACAACCTCCACCTCCCAGGTTCAAGTGATTCTCCTGGCTCAGCCTCCCAAGTAGCTGGGACTACAGGCGTGCGCCACCACACCCAGCTAATTTTTGTATTTTTAGTAAAGACAGTGTTTCACCACGTTGGCCAGGATGGTCTCTATCTCTTGACCTCGTGATCCGCCCACCTCAGCCTCCCAAAATGCTGGGATTACAGGCATGAGTCATGGTGCCCGGCCCTGAGCCACCATGCCCAGCCAGCAAACTTACACATTGAAGACAAGGGAGCTAAAGCTGCAGCCAAGGATGGAGGTCACAACAGAAAGTTAAGATATTTCCATACCTAAAGTTTTTGCAAAAGGAGATACTTGCACCTATCCTTGATTTGGGTTAGCTATAATTTTGCCTATAAATGAGGGAAAAAGGAAGATCTCAGGATGTTCTGACCTTACCTATTGCCAGGAAGAGATCATTCACGTTCATAGCCGTCTTGGCTGAAGTCTCCATGAACAATAAGCTGTTGTCATCTGCATATGCCTGGGCCTCCTGCAAGGAGTGGGGGGTATTGGTGCTCAGAATATAGGGTGGGAATGAGTATTGCCTTTCCACTCCCTAGCACAACAGCTAGGCAAAATCCTAGGTTCCCTCCCCTTAATTAATACCCCTTCGAGCCAGCTAGCCCAGATGCATAATTTAATGACAACTCCCTCAAGATGACCCCATGTCCACTCAGTCCAACACACAAATGTCAGAAAGCTTAATTATAGGGGAAAGGGTAAGTTAGTTGGGGGCTTTTGGATTCTGACACTTGAATAGTCCCTTACCTCAAATGTAATTGCTCCCTCCTTCCCGTTTTCACACTGGTACCCCCACAGCTGGTACTTCCCTAACCCTCTGCTCTGGAATTTTCTCCTGACTCCTCTAAAAATCTCCTGGCTGTGATTAGGGTCACAGTGTTGCTGTATTTAACTTGGTGTAGAACTGGGGAATGAGACAATGAATGTCCTCAGTTGATGTTTGAATTCAGAGAGGGCTGGTTTGGAGAAAAAAAGGTCCCAGGAACAGAGGAAGTGTTAAGAGAGGAACTCCATGGGCCATCTTACTTCATACTCCACCATACGCTTGTTGGCCAGGTCAGCTTTGTTCCCTGCCAGGGCAATAACGATGCTAGGACTGGCCTGTCGCTGTAGTTCCTTCACCCATGTCTTTGCTCGGGCAAAGGTTTCCTAGGAAAACATGAAGAGAATGAGTAGGCTGGAATGACTGCTAATCCATATCCATCACCTTTTAAAGTGAGTCTCAAAATTCACCTTTTCTAGGTGGTCTTCCCTCACTGAAACCACAGGTCTCTGATAATTCATTATCTATCTTCTTAGCACTTGCAAGCATAATTTGTACTCTTACTTGCTATTTCAAGAACCCGTTTTCTGCCCCCTACCCCCTGCCCCAATCTAACTCCTCTAAACATAAGCAAGGACCTTCTTTTTTTTTTTGAGACTGAGTTTTGCTCTGTCGCCCAGGCTGGAGTGCAGTGGCTCGATCTCAGCTCACTGCAACCTCCACCTCCTGGATTCAAGAGATTCTCCTGCCTCAGCCTCCCGAGTACAGGCATGCAACACCACGCCCAACTAATTTTTGTAATTTTAGTAGAGACAGGGTTTCACCATGTTGGCCAGGATGGTCTCAACATCTTGACCTCATGGTCCACCTGCCTTGGCCTCCTAAAGTGCCGGGATTACAGGCAGGAGCCACCATGCCCGGCCAGCAAGGACAGTCTTCTTTGCTCACTTACCTGATTAGTAATGTCGTAAACCACGATTGCAGCTTGGGCACCCCTGTAGTACATAGGGGCTAAGCTGTGATATCGCTCCTGCCCAGCTGTGTCCCAGATCTCAAACTTGACTGTTGTGTCATCTAGACAAACGGACTGGGTAAGGAAGGCCGCTATGGATGAGAGAATGGAGGGGAAGATGCTGTAAGTGGGAGGATGAATGTGAACATCCCACTCCCCTTTAAAATATAATTGCCCTCACACTAAGACCAGTCACCACCCAGTATACTCAGCTACAGGAAAAGATTTCGAGTTCTCCTTACATTTAAGTCTTGGAACCAGGATTAAGACTGCCCTTGACTAAGTCCTTCCTGCCAGAAATGTCACTGGCTAAGGAATGGGGGTACATCATAAACTAAGAGGGATAGAAGAACTGGCACTTATAAGCGTCATCTTTCTTCTAACCAAAATAGGAGAATAACAAATGACAGACACAATAGCTTCAGATAAAAGTCACGTCAAGAATTAATTAGAATATTGGGCCAGGCACGGTGGCTCACGGCTGTAATCCCAGCACTTTGGGAGGCCGAGGCGGGTAGATCACCTGAGGTCAGGAGTTTGAGACCAGTCTGGCCAACATGGCGAAACCCCATCTCTACTAAAAATACAAAAATTAGCCAGCCGTGGTGGTGGGCACCTGGAATCCCAGTTACTCGGGAGGCTGAGGCCAGAGAATTGCTTGAACTTGGGAGGTGGAGGTTGCAGTGAGCCAATATGGCGCTACTGCACTCCAGCCTGGTCAACAAGAGCGGAACTCTGTCTCAAAAAACAAACAAAAGAATTAGAGGATTGGCTGGGCGCAGTGGCTCACGTCTGTAACCCCAGCACTTTGGGAGGCCAAGGCAGGCCGATGGCTTGAGGTCAGGAGTTCGAGACTAGCCTGGTCAAGATGGTGAAACCCCGCCTCTACTAAAAACACAAAAGTTAACCAGTCGTGGTAGTGGACACCTGTAATCCCAGCTACTCGGGAGGCTGAGGCAGCAGAATTGCTTGAACTGGGGAAGCGGAAGTTGCAGTGGGCAACCACTGCACCACTGCACTCCAGCCTGGGCAACAGGGTGAGACTCAGTATCCAAAAAAAATAATAATTAATTAGAAGATTTTAAAGCTTGGTGGCAAGTCCCATCATTATTAATATTATTTGGCTGTTACTTTTTCATCTAATCTGCTGCAGGTCCAGGAATACATTTCGAAGAAGACTAATAAGAAGGGGAAAGCAGCCGGGCATGGTGGCTCATGTCTGTAATCCCAGTACTTTGGGAGGCCGAGGCGGGCGGATCACTTGAGGTCAGGTGCTCGAGACCAGCCTGGCCAACATGGCAAAACCCTGTCTCTATTAAAAGTACAAAAGTTAGCCGGGTGTGGTGGTGCGTGCCTATAATCCCCGCTGCTCAGGAGGCTGAGGCACAAGAATCACTTGAACCTGGGAGGCGGAAGTTGCAGTGAGCCAAGATTGCACCACTGCACTCCAGTCTGGGCAACAGAGGGAGACTCAATCTCAAAAACAAATAAATAAATAAATAAAAATAACAAGGGGAGGGAATAATATGGAGGTTCTCATAAAAGATCCTTTATTGAATTAGCACCCTATTTTGGGGTAGTAGCAGGGAAAAGGTAGCAAAGATGAGAAAGACAGACACCCTTTGTATTTTGCATTAGTTCCAGCCTCTATTTTACCAGATTTTTTTTTTTGAAACACAGTCTCGCTCCTTCGCCTAGGGTAAAATGCACGGGCGCAATTTTGGCTCACTGCAACCTCCGCCTCGGGTTCAAGCAAGTCTCCTGCCTCAGCCTCCCAAGTAGCTGGAATTACAGGCATGTGCAACCATGCCCAGCTAATTTTTGTTGTTGTTGTTGTTTTTGTTTTTTTGAGACGGATTTTCGCTCTAGTCACCCAGGCTGGAGTGCAATGGCGCAATCTTGGCTCATTGCAACCCCCACCTCCTGGGTTCAAGCAATTCTCCTACCTCAGCCTCCTGAGTAGCTGGAATTACAGGCACGTGCCACCACGCTCAGCTAATTTTTGTATTTTTAGTAGATACACAGTTTCACCATGTTGGCCAGGCTGGTCTAGAATTCCTGGCCTCAAGTGATCCGCCTGCCTCGGCCTCCTAAATGCTGGGATTATATATAGGTGTGAGCCACCATGCCCAGCCTATTTTACCGCAATTTTCTTTTTTTTTTTTTGAGATGGAGTTTCACTTTTGTTGCCCAGGGTGGAGTACAGTGGCGCAATCTTGGCTCACTGCAACCTCCATTTCGCGGGTTCAAGTGATTCTCCTGCCTCAGCCTCCCAAGTAGCTGGGATTACAGGCAACCGCGAACATGCCCGGCTAATTTTTTGTATTTTTAGTAGAGACAGGATTTCGCCATGTTGGGCAGGCTGGTCTCAAACTCCTGACCTCAGGTGATCCACCTACCTTGGCCTTCCAAAGTGGTGGGCCACTGGGCCCGGCTTCTGTTTTTATAAAGGGTTTCCACTTCTGGGGAAAAGAACGCAACTAAGAGGGCCAGCTCCATAATCAGGTCTTGGATCTCTTTTCAAAAGCCTTACCAGCCAGGCGCGGTGGCTCACGCCTGTAATCCCAGCACTTTGGGAGGCCGAGGCAGGCAGATCACCTGAGGTCAGGAGTTTGAGACCACCCTGGCCAACATGGTGAAACCCTCTCTCCACTAAAAATACAAAAATTAGCCAGGCGCCATGGTGTGCACCTGTAATCCCAGTTACTTGGGAGGCTGAGGCATGAGAATCGCTTGAACCTGGGAGACAGAGGTTACAGTGAGCCAAGATTGTGCCACTGCACTGCAGCCTGGGCAACAGAGTAAGACTCCATCAAAAAAAAAAAAAAGACAAAACCCTTACCAAACATTCAATCTCCTCTTACCCCGAGGCACTCACCTCCAATGGTGCTCTCCTGGTACTCATGGAACTGCCCTTTGACAAAACGTAACACCAGGCTTGACTTTCCCACTGCAGATTCTCCCAGCAGCACCAATTTGAACTGGCAAATTTTGCTGGCCTGGGGTTGCCCATTGGGCCTAGCTGTGCTTCTGCTAGTCATGGCCAGATTATCAGAGTGGGAAAGGGTGGAGGGAGGGGAATGCTGTAAAGGGGGGGGGAAGGGGAGGGGATTTCCAGGCTTCAACACTCCTGCAAGAAAAAAAAAGTGAATTAGACATACATCCATTGAAGCTGCAATCGCTTTTCAGAGGAGGATAGAATCTCTTCATCTCCTTGCTCCTATGAGGACTTAGCTCTGGCAGTCATCTGCTATTGACAGGTTATACCTCTGAGAAGGTCCCAGGCAGCTGACCCTCAGTGGTAAGAGTTGGGAACAGCAAAATAAGAACTGCTTCTGGAGTCTGCCCTACCACCTAATCTCTAACTGCCAAGGGAACTGAAATAGAGGGACTGAAAACTGAGAGTTTTTAATTCCCCAGTAATTCCCCACCATATCTTCAAGGTTTTTTGTTTGAGTCACACAAAGTGATCAGCCTTTAGTTGGCCTGAAGAATATCCAGATCCACCCACAGGTACCCTAGATCCCCAGTATCTCCTTGGCATCCTGGTGCTGTGCTCTTCTTTTCCTTTTTTTTTTTTTTTTGAGACGTCACTCTTGTTGCCCAGGCTGGTGCGCAGTGGCGTGATCTTGGCTTACCGCAACCTCTGCCTCACAGGTTCAAGCAATTCTCCCACCTCAGCCTCCCGAGTAGCTGGGATTACAGGCACGCACCACCACGCCTGGCTAATTTTGTATTTTTAGTAAAGATGGGGTTTCTCCATGTTGGTCAGGCTAGTCTTGAACTCCCGACCTCGGGTGATCCGCCCGCCTTGGCCTCCCAAAGTGCTGGGATTACAGGCGTGAGCCACCATGCCTGGCCTTCTTTTCCTTTTTCTTTAGCTCTCTGTCAAAATGAGAGATTCACTCTAGGGGTGTGGGATAAGAGTCACCCCTCCTAAGGGCAGAAGGGTAGATGCTGATATATCTTTTATATATGACTGGTCTCCCTGATAAGACATTTCTAAAGATCTAACCAGGGTCCCATTGCCAGAAAATCTATCCTTTCTCATTTTTGGTTGAAGGAGAGAAATACAACCAACAGATCACATTCATTATCAACTCTTTGTTTCATTAACAACTTTTTTCACTTTGTTTCTCCCATCTTTCCAAATCTGAAAGCTTATCAAGAGTCAGTAAGCTTGACCTACTCTCAACCTGCAGCTGTCTTGCTGGTGCCTAGGGATTAGATTACCCTCCACACCAAAGGGGCCAAACAGCTGTAGCCCTCCAAATTAGAGGCAGAGAAAGGTATACCTTCTAAAGACATGCAGGAGTCTCCAGAGGATGGTATAAGGGATAAGTCTGCAAGCGATCAATATTTGATTAAAGAATACACTGAATCAACTCCTCTATCTTCTAAGAGGGCTAAGAAAGCTGCTGGTGGGGCAGGGAACAGAGAGAAGAGTTGGGACTTTGAGATTCTAATTGTCTAAATCTGAATACATTTCATCATCCTGACTCTGAGCAGAAAGGAGCTATGAAATTCAAAGGGGAGTTAGCATGGGCAGAGCATGCAAAAACCTCTCTCCCAAACCTAAGCACTGCTTGAGAGTTGTACTTTGCTTGTTCAAATTGATCTTTCGCTTTTCCAAAGCAGATCCTAGTGACTTCACAGACATTATACTCTGTGGCATATGTGGGGAAACATTATTTTGTCACCACGATTAGTGGGTCTGGAGTTAAACTGGGGTTTAAAAATTTCAGTAATCCCACTTACTAGATAGTAAAGACAGAAAATCATACAGGAGGCAATGCAGAGGAATACAGGCTCTGGAGTCCAATTCTCCGGATTGTTTTCCAGTTCTACTTATTGGCTATGAACCTTGGGCAAGTCACTAAATATATGTGTGCATTCATTTCCTCATCTGTAAAATGAGGTAACAGCCTTATAAGCACCTACTTCAAAAGGGTGTTGTAAGGATTAAATGAGATAATGCATATAAATAACTTAAGTATTTTAAGTATTTGATATATACTAAGTGCTAAATATTAAGCTACTAATCATTACTAATATGACATAAAGAGAATTTCTCTACCTCTCTAAGCCTTACCTTTTACCTTTGTAAAATGGAAAAAATACCATCCTCATAGCTACAAAGTGAAAGATGTGTTTAGCATAGTGCTAATAGCTATTAAAATATATCTCAATATTAGTTGTTATCAATATATTCCTAAAAAGCAGCCACAGGCTGGGTACAGTGGCTCATGCCTATAATCCCAGCACTGTGGGAGGCTGAGGTGGGTGGATAATTTAAGGTCAGAAGTTTGAGACCTGCCTGGCCAACATGGTGAAACCCCGTCTACACTAAAGAAACAAAAAAAATTAGCTGGGTGTGGTACTGCATACCTGTAATCCCAGCTACTCCAGAGGCTGAGGCAGGAGAATTGCTTAAACCCAGAAGGTAGAGGGTGCACTGAGCTGAGGCTGCGCCACTGCACTCCAGCCTCGGTGACAGAGCGAGACTCCGTCTCGAAAAAAAAAAAAAGGCGGGCACAGTGGCTCACACCTGTAATCCCAGCACTTTGGGAGTCCAAGGCGGGCGGATCAGGAGGTCAGGAGTTTGAGACCAGCCTGGTAAACATGGTGAAACCCTGTCTCTACTGAAAATACAAAAATTAGCTGGATGTGGTGGCATATGCCTGTAGTCCCAGCTACTCGGGAGGCTGAGGCAGGTGAATTGCTTGAACCTGTGAGGTGGAGGTTGCAGTGAGCAGAGGCTGTGGTGACAGAATCACTGGAGCCCAGGAGTTGAAGGTTGTAGTGAGCTGATTGCACCACTGCACTCCAGCATGGGCGACAGAAGAAGACCCTGTCTCTGAAAAACAAAAAGGAGACAGAACTAAAGGGTAAAGAGGAAGTTAGCAAAGGAATGAGAGGTGAGAATTCAAGGTCCCAAAGTAGACTACATTAATACAGAGGAACATGACAATTACTTTGATTCTACTGGGTATTCTGTAGTCCCCTTGGTCAGTCAGTCCTAAAAATCCAGATATACATGTACCATTTTATGATTAAGTTTTCAATGGCCTATGACGAAAGGATCAAAATAAAGATGATACAGCAAATTTTTCATAAAGCTAAATTTATTCAATTTAAATGAGTATCTTTAATTATAACATTTTAAAATTTATTTTCAATTTTTAGAGATAGTCTCACTCTGGTGCCCAGGCTGCAGTGCAGTGGAGTGATCACAGCTCATTGTCGGCTCCAACTCCTGGGCTCCAGCGATCCTCCACCACACCTGGCTAATTTTTTCTATTTTGTGTAAAGATGGGGTCTCCCAATGTAATCAGTTTATTTTTAAATTATTTATTCATTTTTTAAAACTATGAGTTATCATTTTAAAAAAAGAGTTTTATAAACACTGCTTTGGAGAGGCCTGACACTGAAAGATGGGTTAGTAGGGACGGAAATAAGTTTAGTTTCTGGACAGTCTATAGTTATGGTTACTACTCAAGCACTTCTGGATGAAATTCAGATGAGGACCAAATGATGGGCTTTCCAGGGATCAGAGAATTCTCCAACCCTGCCACTAAAGTTACAGAGCTATCATGAAAGTGGGGAGAGCCAACCTAGACAGAAGCAGTCCTGCAGAGTTGGTAGTTTCTGGAATCAGGCAAGATCGAGTTCTGTTCTCTGCTTTGCCACAACCCACTGTGATCTTAGGCTACTCACTCCATTTGTTTTTCTGATCCTCAGCTTACCCCTTCTTCTTCTTTTTTTTGAGACAGTTTCGCTCTTGTTGTCCAGGCTGGAGTGCAATGGCATGATCTCGGCTCACCGCAACCTCCGCCTCCCGCGTTCAAGTGATTCTCCTGCCTCAGCTTCCCGAGTAGCTGGGATTACAGGCATGTACCACCACGCCCGGCTAACTTTGTATTTTTAGTAGAGATGGGGTTTCTCCATGTTGGTCAGGCTGGTCTCGAACTCCCAACCTCAAGTGATCCACCCGCCTCAGCCTCCCAAAGTGCTGGGAGCTTCCCCATTTATAAGGATCTTTGTGGGCGAATGGAATTGGTGAAAGTGGCAAAGAGCAGAATTTGAATTCACTTCCAAAGTTCTGTGTACATTTAAGAAACTTGCTGCTTAAGGCATCTGTGAGGATGAATTACTTCTAAAGCACCTCATATTTACGTGGTATTCATACACACTGTCTCGTAGGAAAAGAGGACAGACCAGCAGAATGGTAAACTTTAAAAAGGTAAACACAGCCCGGCTTGGTGGCTCACACCTGTAATACCAGCATTTTGGAAGGCTGAGGTGGGAGGATTGCTTGAGGCCAGGAGTTCAAGACAAGTGTCGGCAACATAGTGAGACCTTGTCTCTAAAAAAAAAAAAAAAAATTAGCCAGGCATGGTGGCACATGCCTGTCATCCTGGCTACTCAGGAGGCTGAGGTGGGAGGATCACTTGAGCCCAGGAGGTTGAGGCTGCAGTGAGCTGTGATTATGCCACTGCATTCCAACATGGGCCACAAAGTGAGACCTTGTCTCAAAAAATAAATGAATAGGCCGGGCGCAGTGGCTTATGCCCGTAATCCCAGCACTTTGAGAGGCCAAGGCGGGCGGATCACCTGAGGTCACGAGTTCGAAAGCAGCCTGGCCAACATATAGTGAAACCCCGTCTCTACTAAAAAATACAAAAATTAGCTGGCCAAGGCAGCACATGCTTGTAGTCCCAGCTACTTGGGAAGCTGAGGCAGGAGAATCGCTTGAACCCAGAAGGCGGAGGTTGCAGTGAGCCGAGATTACGCCACTGCACTCCAGCCTGAGCAACAGACCAAGACTCCATCTCTCAAAATAAATAAATAAATAAATGAAGACAGGTGACATAATAATAATAATAAAAAAAAGGACAGATGATAAGCTGATCAAGTTTCCTTCAGGTGACATATATACGCTGTACTCTCAAGAAACAACAGAAAAAGTTACTAGTTTTTTCAACTTACTCCCTCACCACATTTTTATGTATTTCAAAGCATGTGATCCAAGGGGTAGAATATTAAGCCTCAATGTTACTACTCTACAATATATGAAAATGTGGGAGTTAGAATGGACTGAATTCTCATAGCTAAACATATCACTTGAGC